TTTGTTTCATCTATGTACACTGCCTGTAAGACATCAGCTGCATAAGCAAGATTTTTCAATAAATCTTCCTTAAGAATATCATCTTTATATACTCGGTCATATATTTGCCGAATCCTGAAAGAGAAAAAAAAACATGTTAAGATTAACATCAGATATTCACTATTCTATTTTGCTGACAATGCATTTAAATTTTTGAAGATCAAACTTGACTGGAAAGTAAGAAGCCAGGAGAGAGTTCCACAAGCAAGAAGTACAAAAAAAGAAACTGTTAGCATAGAACTTAGGTTACATCTAGCCATTTCAATGGTAAAATGATAAGAGTGCCACCAATGAAAAATTGATGATTTAAAATCTCCAAGAACTTTTGCATATAACTAATATAAGCATTAAACCCTACAAAAATAAATTTCTTGAAATTTCATAAAATTAAATAAGTGGGGGGGGTCAAAAGATATAAAAAAAAAATATTTTTACCAAAATTTTCTGAAAAAGAAAAGATTCTAAAATAATTGAATTCATTTGGGAATAAGTCCTAAAAGTTTCATTAAAATCTGACAATTATTTGATTTTTGTAAGTCATTGAGTTTTTCAGTGCAAAAAGTTGATAAAATACTTATACTAATATATGGTCACCTGCTGAAGCAAGGTAAAAAAAAATGTAAACCAAAATTTTGAAGGTTCTAAAAAGTATTAAAAAATATAATTTAATAATCAAAAATCTTTTTTGTCTTTTCTCTTAATAATAACAAAGATTTTGACAACAATACTTTTTTCATCATGTATGCTCATTTTTTAGCAAATCTTTGGAGGCACCTAGGCCACAGTATCTTATTCAGTATCACAGAGTTATTTGTCAATTACCTTGACCATAACCAGTTGGGCATGTCTTCTAGGGCTTGATGCACTCTGTTCATGAATAGTAGTTGGAGAGTCCCAGGGCCAGGTGTTGAGAGTGTTGTTTTTTTTTAAATAACTTTGAAGGATGAGGCAAACAAGGCAATTTATAAGTCATGTCTAAATACTTGGGAACACCCTCCATCTGAGTGTCTGAATTGACTGAGTTACTAAACCTAAAGGTATTTCTAATTGGGCATGTGCTGCTTTTATCAAAACCTGTCAGCATATTGCATACTTTTGGCTGTGATGTATGTGCCTTGTATGCCCTTATCAGATTGGGTGTCATGATAGATATATTGGGCTTTATATATGTGTACACCAGCTTCACTTCTTTGGTGTACTGCTCTCTCAATAATAATAATAATAATAATAAAACCAATAATAATAATGGTAAAATGTAGAATGCACTTAACATTCATGGTTATAGTATAAGCACTCTAAAAGAAAGAACAAAATTTAGCACCAAATTTTAAGCAATTACTTTTTAAATTACAGATTAAATCAGAAAAATAACAAAAATGATACTCTTATTAAACAAAAAGATATTTCAAATACATCAATGGGTAAATGCAAACAGCATGTATTAGTAACAGTAATAATAATGTAAAACTTTGTATTTAACTTTCATAGTAACTGCATAGTATAAGCACCCTGATAGAAAAAAAGCAAAATGATCTTAAAACTTTGACAGAATAAGGCACAGAGAGAGAGAGTGAGAGTGTGTGTGTGTGTGTGTGTGTGTGTGTGTGGAGGGATGCTTTTAGGCTCATGGGTAAGAACCATGAAACGTAGAATGACCTAGGGCAGTGAAGAACAGAGTGACTCGGAAGACTTGAGATCAGATTAACTTCTATGTTCATTCAATCCGGTAGATTATCTGAGAGCATTTTATATCCATTTTTATAAAGTTTTTAGTCTTATCTATGCTGAAGTTTTACCTTGTTCATTTCCATGCTATATTGCCTGCTATATAATTGTCACATCAGACAAAACAAGTTTTCTTTAAGTAAATGCTATAGCCAAATAAAATCTCATACTTTTTAATCACATATTACAAGTTCACAGCCTAACCAATCAAAAGTCTGATGTTTGTTCATTTAGTCAGATTTGGGAAAGTGGATTAGACTGACAACTTTTCAGTACCCTCTTGTACATCAAATCAATTTCTATATAACAATAGTACTTAAGCTTTCTCTTATAGAGCTTTATGGTGTTTAAACATCTAAATTTTAAAATATTTAAGATCATGAATTGATGTAACTTTCAGCAATTTTTGTTACAAATAAAGTTATCTAGAATAATATATTAATCTCTATGAAATATTTCACATTTCTATTTTAAATTATCTATTCATTCTTTTCTTGCAGAAGGGCATCTGTTTATTTTTAGGTGCATCTTTTAAGAATTGACATTCCTTAGAACACTGAACAAGTTAATCTTGATCACTTTATATGATGACATTCCCTTGAATTGATACATTAGGCATAGTGATCAGTTGCTGCCCTTGAGGCAACAGTTCTGTACAGAGCTTTGAATTATTTAATTAGAAGTTAATCATTGAAGGAAAATAATTATTAATTTCTCACAAAAGAGAAGAGTGAAAAATGCATGAAAGAAACAAACAGCTTCATTTCTGGTAAAAAATAGAAGCAAATAATTTTTTTTTTTGCCTGATATAATGTATTATGTTGAGGGCTGTGAAGAGAAAAAAATTTAAAGTTGAATTAAACATAATTATTTGTTCTTTCATCATTTTGATATTTAAATTATTCATTCAAATGTTAATGACGAGTAAAGACTGAAAAGATAGAGCACAGAACTGGAGGCAACAAGAGGAAATATCAAGTTAAATAATGTATAAGAAAGAAAATTAGAAACTATTTTTGATCCTAGTTAGTTATTAGTATTATTTTACATAAATGCTCTTATGAAAGTATGGAACTAAAATTTTCCTGTTTCTATTCAGCATAATTATATTTACCATATTTGATGGCATATAAAACACACATTTTTTTCCCATAAAAAAGTTAAAATTTACCCTGTAGGTTAATTTTATTCCTAACAATTGCCATCATAGGCTATAATTTTATATTTTTAATTCAGATGGTCACTTAGCCGAACTCCATAATAATATTTACACAAAAGACATTACTATTATTATTATTATTAATGAGTGAGTGAGCAGTATACCAACAAAGAGATGCTTGGGTACTAATATATATATCCCAATACATCTATCATTGCTACAAGTTTGATAAGTGTATACCAGCAAATATGATACAGGGAGAAGTTTTGATAAAAGCAGTGCATAACCTTTCAGGTGTAGCCTAGTTAGAAATGTCTTCAGGTCAGCTAACCCAATCCACTCATATCAACTGTAATTGAGTGTCCTCATAAGGTATCTAAATGTGACTCCCATGTTGCCTTGGTTGCCTCATCCTTCAAACTAAAAACAACAATTCTTTTGATACCTTGCAATGATGCTCCCTTGCTACTCCTGCTCATGAACAGAGATACACAATGCATCAACCCCTAGGGGAAATGCCAGACTGATTAAGGTCAGCCAACTGACAAGCAAATCTTTGGTAATAAAGGACATATTTACTGTAGTCCATGTTAATTCACAAAGAAAAAAAACTATATACATGTCTAATCAATTAAGATCAGAAGCCATGAGAAATGCCTTCTGGTCGGGTAACCCAATCCATCCAGACAACATGCAATTGAAGACATTCCTATGTATCTAAATGTAACTCAAATGTTGCCTTGGCTGCCTTATCCTTCAAACTTAAAAAACAACTCTCTTGATACCTTGCAAATATGCACACCCACTCATGAATAGAGATGAACAGTACATCTGGTATAGCATCCACACATTTATTATTATTAGTGTTACTTTGAAAAGAACTATCATAACAAGTATTGGTCATAGTCACTGATACCAAGTGATGACTCATGCCTAAATAGGTTTCAATGCACACTTATCATTAATCAGCTGGAAACTGCAGAAGAAAACAATGTAATTGAAAGCAAATACTGTTAATGGGGAAAAAACAAAAAAACCCTGGGAAACATGGTATTAAGGCTGAAGATAAATTTGTCTCTCATATAAAGTGGTCAAAGAAGAATGTAGGATATTTTCACTATTGTGATTTCTTATTTAAAGTTCCACTGCTAGCTTGCTTTTTATATAAAGTAATTTTGGGGACTATTGCTAAAGTACTTCTGTTGTTTTTAATGTATATATAGTTTTCTATAAACATTACATTTTTATATACATTAAAATTTTTCTCCAAATATATTATATTGAAATAGGGGCACATCTAATATGCCTATGTGTCTTTTATGCCATCAAATAATCTTATGGATATTGAGAGAACAAAATGAGAAAGATGTCCATGAATTTCTTAGGATTACATGAGCAGAAAATAAATTTAAAATAAATATATTTTAGAAATTAGCTAACAACAACAAACACAGACAGTAAGTAATCAGTGATGCCAAAAATTGTATTTCTAGTTGCTTAAAATGGACATTGGAACTGGTCACATATCAGAAAGTCGTCATATATTTTTATGTGTATATAGGAGTAGGTACTGAAAAGATCTACTTCTAACCCACTTACTAAAATCTGACCAAACACCAGAAAGCTTTTTAAAAATCTCATGGTCAGAAAGATAGGTTTTCAACCTGACCCCCTCATGTATACATAGCTGATTTGAAAAGTATATAAAAGTAAAAAGATGAGTATCTTTCCGCAAATAAATGAGATCAAATGACACATCTATATTAGAAGATAGGATGTGTTTTATTTCATCATGCAAATGTTTTGAATCCTTTCTTGAGCATGGAGTGAGCATTTTTGGTTTAAATGAGTCAATTTCGTTGAATGGTGAGTAATCACAAAACAGTTCTCATTCAGGTGATTTCGAACTACAAATAGTGAAATAATTTTATTCATCCAACCTGATACTCAAAATCTAACAAAATAATCAAACATTTTTAAATTCCTTTTCAGTTTAGCCAAAAACTTTTCAGCATTTCCTCATGAAAGAAAAATATTGCTTTTTTTTGCCTCCATTCAGCTATCCAAAATGACATTGAAAATGATATATCTTGTGATTCTCTAGACACAATGAAGAATGTCAATAGCTGACAACAAGGTTTGCTGACTCACCAACAGTATCTTTTCTTTCTTGTACAACAAAAGCTACACA